TGATCAGCTAGGGCGGATTGGGCCTGAGATGAAAGAAAGCTAGAGAGACTGTGCTTTTTAGAATTTTATAATACCAACCCACTAAAATATCATGGAAACTAGTATTTAGTGGAATTTGTTTTCTAATATTTCATTTGAATGTCACTGTTTAATTCAATTCTGACTTAAATGTACACCACTGACTTTTTAATTTCACGTATTTAGTCACATAACCAGATTGGGTTTCTTAGAGGCAAAGAATTAGCCTGACATCTACTGTCATCCACTGCCAAGTGTGCCACCTTGCCGGAGTCTACACGTGTGCTGTTTCCCCGTCACCACAAAGAGAAAGGAGCTGATCACTTTGACAGTACAATGTGACCACAGCTTACCTTTTGATTCAATGACGTTATTATCTCCCATTTTCATAGCTTGCGAATCTGTAAGCTGGAGTTAAGCAAATACTGAAATCTGTTCATCTTCTTTCCCTACTAATACAACACGTCCCTGTATTACACTGAGGCAGCAGACAAAGGCGTGGAAGGGCCACAGAGATTGTCCTGATCAGATCTCTTTGCTTAGGGCAATCTGCAGTAAAATTTTCTCTTTAAACACAAGTATCTCTAGGTATAAACAAAGGACTTTTGTATGTTTTTTAAAGAAATGGGTACCCGGCTGGTGCTGTGGCGTAGTATGCTAAAGCTTCCAGCTGTGGCACCAAGATCCCGTAAGGGCACCAGTTCATATCCCAGCTGCTTCTCTCTCTTTTTTTTTTTTTTAAAGATTTTATTTATTTAAGAGGTAGAGTTATAGACAGTGAGAGGGAGAGAGGGAGAGACAGAGAGAAAGGTCTTCTGTCTGTGGGTTCACTCCCCAAATGGCCACAACGGCTGGAACTGGTCCGATCCAAAGCCAGGAGCTAGGCGCTTCTTCCGGTCTCCCACATGGGTGCAGGGGCCCACGGACTTGGGCCACCTTCTACTGCTTTCCCAGGTCATAGCAGAGAACTGGATAGGAAGAGGAGCAGCTGGGACTAGAACCGGGGCCCATATGGGATGCCTATGCCACAGGCAGAGGATTAACCTACTGCACCAAGCGATAGCCCCCAGCTGCTTCTCTTTGATCCAGCTCTCTGCTTAAGGCCTGGGAAAGCAGCAGAGAATGCCCCAAGTTCTTGGGACCCTGCACCCATGTGGGAGACCCAGAAGAAGCTCCTGGCTCCTGGCTTTGGATCAGCTCAGCTCCAGCCATTGTGGCCATTTGGGGAGTGAACCAGTGGGTGGAAGACCTTTGTGTTTCTAACTCTACCTCTCAAATAAACACATAAAATCTTAAAAAAAAAATAAATAAACAGGTACCTTTTAACATGATTTTATGGGTAATGCATGTTTGCAACTTTTTGAAGAAAATTAAAACTATCTATCATTCACTTAGATACTGTTAACAGTTTGACACATCTTTATATAAATACATATCGAATTCCTTTTAGGTAAATAGGAATCAAACTGTATAAAACTATATAAACTTTTTTAGCTTACTCAGCTGACTTAAATTTGCAAGTATTATTCCAAGCCACTAAAATCTTAGAGAAAATTAATTTTTAAGTACTTATTTATTTGAAAGTCAGAATTACACAGAGAGAGGGAGAGACAGAGATCTTCCATCTGCTGGTTTATTCTCCAGTTGGCTTCAATGGCCAGGGCTGGGCCAGGCCGAAGACAGGAGCCAGGGGCTTCTTCCAGGTCTCCCACGTGGGTGGCAGGGGGCCCAAACATTTGGGTCATCTTTCACTGCTTTTCCCAGGCCATTAGCAGGGAGCTGAATCAGAAGCAGAGCAGCCGGAACTCAAACCTGTACCCACATGGGATGCTAACATCATAGGTGGAGGCTTAACCTACTACCCCACAATGCCAGCCCCAAGAAAATTAATTTTTAACAACTGCCTAAAAGTCCTAGTGATTTGCTTCAGGCTTGTAGACTGGCTTGTTAAATATTTTGCTATTGTTGAACATTTAGATTTTTTTTCCCCTCCAAGTATTTCCTATTATATGTCAAAATATATGATGCCATAAAGATTTTTCTATTTTTTTAAGAGTTATAGAACTGAGCAAAAGAATGAAAGGAACTCTGGGTAGAAGGGATCCCAGCACATTACGCAGGAAGCAAACTGACAAAGGTGTGGTTCTTTTTTGTTTGTTTGTTGTTTTAAATTTTTGACGGGTAGAGTGGACAGTGAGAGAGAGAGAGAGACAGAGAGAACGATCTTCCTTTACCATTGGTTCACCCTCCAATGGCCGCCGCAGCTGGTGCACTGTGCCGATCTGAAGCTGGGAGCCAAGCACTTTTCCTGGTCTCCCATATGGGTGCAGGGCCCAAGCACTTGGGCCATCCTCCACTGCACTCCCTGGCCACAGCAGAGAGCTGGCCTGGAAAAGGGGCAACCGGGACAGAATCCGGTACCCCAACTGGGACTAGAACCCAGTGTGCCGGCACCGCAAGGCGGAGGATTAGCCTATTGAACCACGGTGCCGGCTAAAGGTGTGGTTCTTAAATAAGGCCAGAAGCCAGGATCATAGCTCCTGTGCCTCCTGTCACCTTCTGGCAACACAATGTGGTTCAGCAACAGCAGCAGGAAGTCACGTTCCCAATGCTGAGCTAAAATCGCATGTACCACTGTCTAAAAAGGGCATGCAGGACTGACTTACTGGAGTTTCTACAAACAAGTCTATTGAAAGGGTTGGATGTCCTGGTCTGTAAAATGTAATCACGGTGTACATTATAAATACAGCTGCCTAATCAATTATGACAATCTTGACATGGGGAGACTTGGGTACTAATGGACAGCAGGGCGATTCATCTCAGATTATTACACAGGATACAACAGCCAACTTCGAACACATTATTGGTGCCAATGACCATAGGCTTGGGCTCTGGATCTTCCACATCCGGGGTTATGTTATCTGGGTAGCTGTGAAAGAAAGGATAAACCATCAAAAAGTCAGAAGTACAATAAACAACTTTCCTCCTATTGAGAATTTGGGTCATTTCTCTCCATTGGACCTATATTATAACTCTGTAAATTACTTCTTTAATTCCTTTATCCAAGTGAATCTTTTATCCTCCATGCTGGAGAAGGCTTGATTTGTGAATTCAAGGGAGCTTCTGAAATGCAAGGAGGCCACAGGCCTGGGAGGGGACAGCCTTCCTTTGTTTGTTTTCTAAATGCCAAGTCCACAGGGCCTTCTCCAGGACAAGGGGAACAACATGCTGGCTACACTTTTCAGAATAAAAATCTCACCTAACTTGGAAACTTTCCAACCTCAACAATGTAAATAGATACGCACATAAAATAATTACTTCCTTAGGTAGTAGCTGAAATATGTGGAAGAGTAAATGTTTGTGTTCTGAAAGCAGGAAGCCATTTTAAACGGCGCTCTACCTGACAGCTGAGTTACTGCAGAATATGGCTGCTGTTAATTGACTTACATCAAAAGTACCAAATGTTTTTAGATATAGTAAGAAACTCCCAAATCCTAGATAAGCGTTAAAACAAGTCTGTCTTCTTATCACAGTTAAATATTTTTCCAAAGTCTTTCATACAAATTCCATACATTGCTGCTATAAATTAGGTATAACCTTGAATTTCTTGCCAAATTTTATCTAGAAAGACTCACAAATGCTTACAGAAATTTTACAGGTATCACATTATATTTCCCTAAGACCAGCTATGTGTTCTAATATTTTACTAATTTTTACATTTAAAGCCTAAAATTGTCATCATGATCTCCAATTTTTCAACTACAACTGTGGGTGCTACCTGTGCAAAACATGTGAAAACACATTAGGGTTAAGTTCACGTGTGTGGCATGAGCCGTGACAATTCTGCCAGAACCAAGATCCAACCAAACATTCTCTTCACTTGGGGAGGTGCCGGGGAAAGGATGAGAAAAGGAGAGTAATGGAAGATCAGGCCCAGGGTCCAGGAGCCCGCGCACTTGGAGTGGGGCCTTCCCCTCATCTGGTTTTCAGGTTTCCAGATACCACGCTGACAGAGATCCCTAACCTTACTCGAGTGCAACAGTGAGCCTGGCCCAGGATGGCTGTAGAAGGGTCCTGCAGACAGCCACAAACGGGGAAGCAGTGCTTGTGCTCAGAGCGCCTGACAGCACCTCACTCACGCGTTTATGATGAGAGCCTGCTCTTCGATCAGGTTCCCTTCACCGATCACTATGGGCCCGGCCTCGGCAATGATTCGCGCCTTGGGGTGGATCACCGTCCTGGGCCCTGTTGGGAAGATTGTTTGAGAAGATTAGCGCTGGAGGCTGCTGGGAGGAACATTTTCTGCACACTGGGTCTTTACAAACGGTATCTTCTCGGCCGATAGCAGCAGCAGTCAGGGCCAAGCCTCCAGGGAGGTGAGGGAAATGGCCCCGGCGCTAGGGCAGACGGCCTCGCTCTCTGACACCCCTGAGATCTGAGGAGAAACAGGGGTGACAAGTGCAGCCTGCGGGGCTGCTGCGCGGGTCAGACGAGACCACGCTGGAGACGGAGGCACTCGCGATGAACCCCCTTCCTCGCTTTCCCTCAGAAGGGGAAGGCTCTCTTCCTGGCTAGCCTAGGGGGAGTCCTTGTACTAATCCAGGTGGACAGAGTGAGCAGAGAGCAAGCTCATCAGCTCCGTCGTTCTGTTGCTGCCCCTGTTACAAGCATGCCCGCTGCAAGGAGGCAGAGCTTCTGCTGGCTGGTCTAGCAGACGACGCTGACCAGATGAAGTCGAACAAGCTAAAGGAAGCCGGAGGGTGAGCCCGAAGGCACCACTAGAGTCCTAAGGTCTGCTGTGGGGAGACCGAGGCAATGCCCGCCATCTGCATCCCTCCATTCTGAGGCAGCAGGGAGGGGCCTCATCACACCACAGCACCGCAGGGCGGGCCCTGGAATGCGCACTGCACTCCCTCCCGGCAGCTGTTATCTGCCCGCAGGCCTAGCATCTGGTGATAACAAAACCACTGGTGGAAAAAACACATCCTCCTTTTAGCCTCTCTCCAACACCCAGCCCACTCTCCCCCAACACCAAGGTTATTTTTGCTGGTCAGCAAGCGGACAGGAAGTAACAATGAAGGTAAGGGAGGATGGACAGAAGTATTGACGGCAGATGGGGGTAGGTCAGGAAGGTGACACTGCCCGTGAAATTCAGTAGTTAATGGTATCAGTTATTCATTCAATAATCACTACTTGCTTGTGACAGGTAAGATGCAGTGCTATATGGTATGTGGAAAGAAAAATGGATACTGGCTATTTTTGTCCTTTTGAGTTTGTTATCTTGAAAACTAGCAGTGCTGCATACCCAGTCACAAATATATTAAAATAAACAAGGAGGTGCCTGGTACCCAGAGCATTTGGAAGCAACCTCAGTGCAGCTTATTCTTTGCCTTGACAATGAGGAGCTGGGAACTGATAACGAGGGTGGGGACCCAAACCAGATGCACAGGCCAGCGACACATGGCCTGGGAAGAAACAGCAAGAGTAGCCTTGCTATTTCTCAGTCACCTCAGGGTCCTGGAATCGCAGATGCTAAAGTATAATTTCCCAGGCAAATTCTACTTGGAAAAGAAGAACTCTGGAGCGATGGGATCTCTGAGATCCCTGGGAAGTTTCTTACATTGACCCTGAGTGTGAGCCTTGTGTATTTTTTTTTTTTTTTTTAGATTTTAAAATTTATATATTATTTTGAGAGAGAGAGAGAGAGAGAGACAGAAAGATCTTCCATCTGCTGGTTCACTCCCCAAATGGCCACAACAGCCAGAACTGAGCTGATTCAAAGCCAGGAGCCAGGGGCTTCTTCCTGTCTCCCAGGCGGGTGCAGGGGCCCAAACACTTGGCCATTTTCCACTGCTTTCGCAGGCCATAAGCAGAGGGTTGAGGGAAGAGGAGCAGCCGGGATACAAACCAGAGCTCATATGGGATGCCAGTGCTGAAGGTGGCAGCTTAGCCTACTAAGCCACAGTGCCGGCCCCCAGGAGAAGCACCTGGCTCCTGCCTTCAGATCAGCGCGGTGCGCCGGCCGCAGCACGCCGGCCACGGCGGCCAATGGAGGGTGCACCAACGGCAAAGGAAGACCTTTCTCTCTGTCTCTCTCTCTCACTGTCCACTCTGCCTGGACAACAACAACAATCTATATATATATATATATATATATATATATACACATACACGCATGTATACAACATACACACAGGTACTTCAAAAAGTTCAGGGAGGGTGGAAACTGTTGTGTAGCAGATTAAACTATAGCTTGGGATGCCCACATCCCAGGTGGAAGTGGCAGTTCAAGTCCTGGCTATGCCACTTTCCAACCAGCTTCCTGCTAATGCATCCTGGGAAAGCAGCAGAGGATGGCTCAAGCACCTGCCTTTCTTCGACGTGGGAGACCCAAATGGAATTTCATGCTCCTGGTTTTTGCCAGGCTCAGCCCTGGTTGTTTACAGGCATTAAAGGAGTTGAACAGGTAGGTAGAAGATCTCTCTTTCTCTCTTTTTAAAGGTTTATTTATTTGAAACGGGGAGTTACAGAGGCAAAGAGATATCTACTGGTTCACTCCCCAAATGGCCACAATGGCCGGAGCTAGGCTGATCTGAAGCCAGGAGCCAGGAACTTCTTCTGGGTCTCCCATGTGGGTACAGGGGCTCAAGGACTTGGGCCATCTTCTGCTGCTTTCCCAGGCAATAGCAGAGAGCTGGGTAGGAAGTGGAACAGCCAGGACCCAAACCGGTGCCCAAATGGGATGCAGACGGTGGCTTTACCTATTATGCCACAGCGCCGGCCTCTCTCTCTCTTGTCTCTCCGCCACTCTGCCTTTCACATAGATGGGAATCAACAATTTTTTAAAAGCTCATGGAAAATGGAAATCAAAAGATATATTGATTTTGGTAGGAAAAAAAATGGAAACCCATGTAGTTTTCTCATTATATGCAATTCCATGAACTTTCTGAAAAGCTCTTAGTATACTTATTTATGAAAGGAATACATGGTCATTAGAAAAAATTCAAAGAAAGCAAAAAGTGAAGACTCTACTCCGACCAATCCCATTTCCAGAGTTAACTATCCTTGAAAGTTTGTGTGATGTGTTGCAGGCTTCAGTACCACTGAGCACTTAAGATCTATACACGTATCTCATTAAAAAGTTCAAAAGTAAATACAGCTTTGGAGTGAAAAGTGTGATTCCAAGCACATACTTTAAAGCCAAGGAACAGTACTCATTTTGCAATGTTCTATTTTCATGATGCCTCCATGGGAGTATATTCTACGCAGATATTCTTTCTGATGGCTGAAAAGCATCTCATATCACATCAATACATTGTAATTTGCTTAACTGGTCCCTTAATATTGGATACGCCAGCACTTTTGGGGGAGAGGCAGAACACAATTCTGAAATGGACACTCAGTTCCTTTGAAATAAGAAATTTTTAAGTCTTCCAGCTGCGTGAACAACTGAAATCTGTAGCTCACAGAGTACACGAGCAGACGTACACTGTATTTCAGAATGTCCTGTGATAAACCGATGAAGCTCTCTACTTTAGGGTCTTTATAACGAAAACCTTGGCTGCCACCCAGACTAGACGGTGGGCTCTATCACACAAAGGCCTGTTTCTCACCTACAGAAAGATATGAGCTGGAACAACCTACCCCAGTGGGGTAAAATGGAGATGATGCAAGTTAGGTCTGAATGGGAGAGTAAGGGGCTGGGCCACAGTCCTTAAAAAAGCGAGGTTCAGCACTACGTCACTAAGAGCGCATAGTAACTTTTTCGTAAGACAATAATTCTGCTCTGAGAAACAGAAGAAAAGACTGCTTTCCTCCTCTACTCAGGGAGCAGGATAATCACTGCTTTTAACCAAAAGTATCATGGGACAATAAAAAGATTCATAAAAATACAAAAGTCCTAGACAGGAGGAAGGGATCATCAAGGCTGTGACAGAAAGCAGATCGGTTGCCAGTGCTAGATAAGCAGCAAAGGCCCTGGGTCCTCACTTTCTCTGGCCCTCACGCTGCAGCTTTTGACAATAAACAGGACAGCTAAGAAACTACCTGAGGGGCTGGTGCTGTGGCATAGTAGGTAAAGCCACCGCCTGCAGTGCTGCCATCCCATATGGGCGCGGGTTTGAGTCCCAGCTGCTCCACTTCTGATCCAGCTCTCTGCTATGGCCTGGGAAAGCAGCAGAAGGTAGCCCAAGTCCTTGGGCCCCTGCACCCATGTTGGAGACTGGGAAGAACCTCCCAGCTCCTGGCTTTGGATAGATGCAGATCCGGCCATTGGGGCCATTTTGGGAGTGAACCAGCAGATGGAAGACTTCTTTCTCTCTGCTTCTCCTTCTCTCTGTGTGTAACTCTTTCAAATAAATAAATTAAAAAAAAAAACAAAGCTACCTGAGGCTGCATTAGTAAGAGGAAGGGCAACCGGGACCTATGCTTTTACAGTTCCTCTAAAGTGTACATTTGAAAACAGCTGCTATTTTAATTTTTCTCTTTCAAATATGATGTAAGTAATCCATATTTATTATATAAAAACCCAAACACATTATACAAAATTTTTAAAATTTAAGTAACCATTAAGTCTCATAATGATATTCCACACAATATTGAAGAATAATGCCTTAGCTACTTTATCAAGGTATACTTTTATTGTTATAATTATTAATAATTTATTTAATAATTAACTGGAAAAGTCCTGCTTATAAATGTGAGGGCCTTGCACTGGGAGGTAAAACACAGCTTAGGCCAAGACCTGTGATTTAGACACCAGCACCACCTGCTGGCAGCGTTGCCAAACTGCAGGTCCTGGTATTTTGGGTCTAAACTAATTTAGATGGTGAAACTATCAACTTTGAGTTGGCAGGTGATCAGCAGATGTCATAGGCAGTAATAAACTGAATAGAAGCCTCCTGTAGGTGTTTTGGGGGCACGCGCGAGACAGGCTGGCATACATGTACTTTAGGATATATGGCTGTTAAGATTTTGGTTGAGTGATCTTCTTAAAGGAATGTTGTGACTTCAGTGAATGAGTGCTATTCAGCTTTGTCTCGGAACGGTTCTGGGACAGAGACAAGGAGAGGGCCAGGCGATTCAGGCTCTCTGAGTGACAGCACACTGTCACGTGGGCACGCTTGCTCCACGCTTCTCTGCATGTCACAAGCACTTTAAGGAACCTGGGGTTAAAGTGCTTTAAAAATAAAAATCACCATGGAAAGTTTTTTTGTTTTTTTTAAGCCCGTTGTGAGCCTTCTTGGAGTTCTTTCTGAAAGTCTGTATTTCCTTACCAAATGTGCCAAAACCCCAGTTGTCTTATCTCCTTGTTTGGCTAAATGTGTGCAGAGCTGGAGCTGCCTGAACTGGCTGATGAGTTATTTTTTTTTAAATGGTTGGCAGAGCTTGATGCGACATAGCCAGAAACACATTCCTTGCATCAAATTTCCATCTTCCTCATTTGGTAAAGGACATTTTTCCTGTCTATCTTTGCCACAGAAAGCAATCCTGATGTACGTTTCCCTCCATTAAGAAATAATTTTAAAAAGCTGCGAACCCTCTCTCGAAAACGACACCATGCCCTGGTGACCGGTACGCTGAAGCACCAGCCCAGGCTGCTTGGTGTGCAATGCTTTCCCAGGTCAAAGTCACTGGTCTGTCTTCCTGAAAGGTTTCCACATAGAGGGGAGGCTTTGGGCCTCTATTAAAACTCAGTGGAGAGAATCTGTGGGACAAAGTGCTCCTAGCACAAGGCTTCTCCACTGTGCCTCCACAGTACGACGTCCCAAGCAGGCCTCGTCCTGACGCTAACACACAGAATGCCCTTCTGGAATGTTCTTCAGCTCTCAAAACACAGATTTACAGGACACAACTCATGGCTTGTCGTAAATTAAGGAAGCCTACTGAAAAACAGGCTTGGTGAGGCCAGCACTGTGGCCTAGTGGGTTAAGGTGCGCCCGCAGTGCCCACATCCCATATGGGCACCGGTTTGAGTCCCAGATGCTCTGCTTCTGATCCAGCTCTCTGCTGTGGCCTGGGAAAGCAGAAGATGGCCCAAGTCCTTGGGTCCCTGCACCCGTGTGGGAGACCAGAAAGAAAATCTTTGCTCCTGGCTTCGGATTGGCGCAGCTGTTGCAGCCAACTGGGGAGTGAGCCAGCAGATGGAAGACCTTTCTCTCTCTCTCTCTCTCTGCCTCTCTTTCTCTCTCTGTGTAACTTTGACTTTCAAATAAATAAATAAATCTTAAAAAAAAAAAAAAAGAAAGAAAACAGGCTTGGTGCTATGAAACCTTATTTATGCAAACTGGAGTGAACAACAGAGCTGTGACTTCCCCAAGATCTGCTGTCCAATGGCTCCCAATGAGGGAGGTGCGGCTCCAGCAGGGCTTCCACTTCACAGGGTTCCTGGTTAAGGATTATAATTCTATTCATGTTTTTTAAGGATTGATTCATTTATTTGAAAGGCAGAGTTACAGAGAGAGGGAAAGACAGGTCTTCCATCTGCTGGTTTACTCCCCAAATGACCACAATGACCAAAGCTGGGCCCATCTGAAGCTAGGAGCCAGGAGCTTCTTCTGGGTCTCCCATATGGGTGCTGGGTCCCAAGCACTTGGGCCATCTTCCACAGTTTTCCCAGGCCATAGCAGAGAGCTGGATTGGAAGTGGAGCTGCCGGACTTCAACTGGCGCCCATATGGGATGCCAGTGTTGCAGATGGCGGCTTCACCTACTACACCACAGTGCCGGCCCCTGGCTTAAACTTCTAAGCTTCCAACTTCTCTGATAAACCAAATGCTTTATTTTCTAGGAGAAGAGAATATCAAGTTCAAATTTCGACTAACTTGAAACACAGTAAAGGAAATATTTCTTTCCAAAATATTTCAAGACTGAATAGCTTAGGCCAGCGCCGGCACACCGGGTTCTAGTGTCGGTCGGGGCGCCGGATTCTGTCCCGGTTGCCCCTCTTCCAGGCCAGCTCTCTGCTGTGGCCAGGGAGTGCAGTGGAGGATGGCCCAAGTGCTTGGGCCCTGCACCCCATGGGAGACCAGGATAAGTACCTGGCTCCTGCCATCAGATCAGCGTGGTGCGCCAGCCACAGCGCGCCAGCCGCGGTGGCCATTGGAGGGTGAACCAATGGCAAAGGAAGACCTTTCTCTCTGTCTCTCTCTCTCACTGTCCACTCTGCCTGTCAAAAAAAAAAAAAAAAAAAAAAAAAAAAAGATTGAATAGCCTAAAAGTGTAATAAATGACTAGAGGAAGCAAGCAAACAAAATATGCTGAAAAAAAAAAATCTATCAACTGGGGCCAATGTTGTGGCACAGCAGGTTAAGCCACCATGGGTTAAGCCACTGCCTGTGACACCAGCATCCCACATGGGCATCAGTTCAAGTCTGGCTGCTCTGCTTCAGATCCACCTCCTTGCTAATGTGCCTAGGAAAGCAGTGGAAGATGGCCAAGTGCTTGGGCCCCTGCACTCATGTGGGAGACCTGGATGAAGCTCCTGGCTCCTGGTTTCAGCCCGGCCCAACCCTGGCTGTTGCTGCCATTTGGGAAGTGAACCAGCGGATGGAAGACCTCTCTCTCTCTCTCCTTTCTTTGTAACTCTGCATTTCAAATAAATAAATCTTTAAAAAAAAATCTATCAACTAAAGTGCACTTAAGTGTATTGTTACTTAATCTCCGTTTCTTTAACACAATAAAAAAGACTTAAATTAATTACCTTGGTAAATTAAGCAAACACAAAAACGATAAAAACCCTGAAGTGAAAAATAAGATGTAGCAAAGAAAGCTGTAACCAGATAATTTATCTCCACCCTCAGCTTTAATTTTTTTAAGATTCATTTATCTGAGAGGCAGAGTGATAGAGAGTGAGAAGATACAGACTCTTCTTTCAGTTGGTTCATTCCCCAAATGCCTGCTACAACCAGGGCTGGGCCAGGCCAAAGCCAGGAGCCTGGAACTCCATCCAGGTCTCCCACATGGACGGCAGGAGCCCAAGCACTTGGGTCATCTTTGCTGCCTTCCCAGGCATATGCGCAAGAAGCTGAATTGAAAGAAAGTGGAGGGGCCAGCACTGTGCCATCTTCTACTGCTTTCCCAGGCCATAGCAGAGAGCTGGATGGGAAGTGGAACAGCTGGGACTCGAACTGGTGCTCATATGGGATGCTGGCATGGCAGGCGGCAGCTTTACCCACTACGCCACAGTGCCAGCCCTCAAAGCTTTGATTTAATTTTATCCATCTCTCAGGAGATTTTTAGTCTGACATATTACTTCAGAAAAATGAATAGCAGCCAAAAGATTAGAGATATTTTTTTACTAAATATAACAATGACAGAGATGGTTATCTAAATGTCTATTCTGGAAAATTCCTATATTTATACAGCAATCACAGATCAGAAATACATAACAAAAAGGAAATAAAAAATGTGGAAAACAAAATACTCTTTTGATTAAAAAAAATTGAGCTGTTTCTGTGATTTAAGAAACTCTTAAGAAACTGGGTCTGGGGCTGGCGCTGTGGCGCAGGTTAATGCCCTGGCCTGAAGCGCCAGCATCCCATACGGGCACCAGGATGCTGGTTCGAGACCCGTCTGCTCCACTTCCGATCCAGTTCTCTGCTGTGGCCTGGGAAAGCAGTTGAAGATGGTTCAAGTCCTTGGGCCCCTGTACCTGCGTGGGAGACCTGGAAGAAGCTCCTGGCTCCTGGCTTTGGATTGGCGCAGCTCCGGCCATTGCAGCCAATTGGGGAGTGAACCAGTGGATGGAAGACCCCTCTCCCTCTTTCTGCCTCTCCTCTCTCTGTTTAACTCTGACTTTCGAATAAATAAATAAATTAAAAAAAAAAAAAAAAGAAACTGGGTCAAAAATAAATATAATGAGCTGGTGTTGTGGCACAGCAGGTTAAGCTACCACTTGAATTCCAGCATCCCGTATCAGAGCACCACGTAGCATCCCGGTTGCTCTGTTGTCCATCCAACTTCCTACTAATGTGTCTGGGAAGGCAGTAGTACATGATTCAAATATTTGGGCCCCTGACTCCCATGTGGGAGACCTGGATCAAGTTCCTGGATCCTGGCTTTGGTCTAGCCTAGACCTAGCTGTTATAGTCATGTGGAGAGTAAACCAGCAAATTGAAGATCTCTCTTTCTGTTTCTTGCCTTTCAAATAAATAAATAAATATTTTTAAAAGACCATAAATAAATAAAAATATAAGAAATACTAACTTGGACCTATCCTGTGATAAATTTCAAGTAACCATAGATTTCTTTCTTAAGAAATTTATAATCACAGGGGCTGGCGTTGTGGTGCAGCAGGTTAAGTCACCTCCTGCAATGCCAGTATCCCATATGGGTACCGGTTCGAATCCTGGCTACTCCACTCTGATCCAGTTTCCTAATGAACCTGGGAAAATACCTGAGGATGGGCCAAGTAGTTGGGCCTCTGCCCCCCGTGTGGGAGACTCAGATGGAACTGTAGGATCCAGATTTCAGCCTGGCCCAGTCATGGCTATTGTAGCCATATGAGAAGTTAACCAGTAAATAGAAGTTCTCTCTCTGTGTCTCTCCTTCTCTCTCTGTAACTCTGCTTTTAAAATAAAATAAATACATCTTTTAAGAAAAAGAAATTTATAATCACTTCTTATGCTATAATTCATCACTGAAAATGTGTTGAAATATCATTTTATTTGTTAAGTATTAGAATGGTGCACTATCAGCTAGTGGTCAAATACTGGACAAACAGTAAATTTAAACACTGTATTTACAGATATAACATCAACATTTAGGGAAGGCGAGGAGATAACAGGGATAAAAAAAAGGGGAGAAGAACAAATTGGTGAAAGCCAGAGGGAACAACAGGACAATGAGTGCTGACTCCCGACACCCCAAACCGCGGTCCTAGGCAGTGGTCCCATCACTAACAGCTTTCTATCTAGGAAAACTGGATGTAACAGAAGTTATTTCAAATTGGAAACATACACACACACACACACACACATGCCTACGTATGTATTTATGCCTCTAGACATATCTATTCTACCTACTTATCTACTATAAGCAGATATCACATACTTCCTGTCTAACATGGGAGGAAGCAGAAACATAGGGGACACTTTACACTAACCACTACACTCTTTTAGTCTTAGAACACCTTGTGAGCTGAGGAGTTATTCCTTGAATTTTGATGAGAGCTGTAAGTACACAAACGGTGCAGCAAAACAAGGGAAAAGAATGCAGAAGGGCATGTTGCTACATGTGTGGGCTTCATGGTTTCTCCTCATGACAGTGGGCAAGTGGTTTAGGTAACAGAAACGACAGAGCGTGAACACAGCACTGAAAAGAAACGGGGCTATTTTCTAAACCTGCCAACTTAAAATAATAAATAAACCAACAGGGCAAATTCTTAACAGAGTTCCATATTCTTGGCACAATCTTTGCAAGTTATACAACACACAGTGCCTAAATTGGTTGGAAGTTTAGAATCAGAAAAAAAGAAATTTCATCTTTTTAAGATTTATTTATTTATTTTGAAAATAAGTATCACAGAGAAAGAGGTAGAGAGAGAGAGGAAGCTCTTCCATCCACTGGTTCACTACCCAGATGGCCACATCGGCCAGGGCTGGGCCAGGCCAAAGCCAGGAGCTTCATCCAGGTCTCCCATGTGGGCGGCAGGGCCCAAACACTTGGACCATCCTCTGCTGCTTTTCCCAGGTGCATCAGCAGGGAGCTGGATAGGAAGTGGAGCAGCCAGGACAGAAACCAGTGCCCGTATCAGACGCCGGTGTCGCAGGCAGCGGCTTAATCAGCTATGCTATGCCTGCTCTCTCAAGAAATTCTTTAATAGAAAAAATTCTCTTTCAGGAGAATGTGAAATATTTTGCATGTGACAAAAAATGGTAATTGCCACTCTCCTCTTTTCCTCTAAACAGAACCCTGATTTTGTTCAAAGAAGCAATGCGGCCAAGCAGGACCACATCCCCCGCATCCCCCTAGCCTGATGTGCCATGACAGGAAGCCACGGCCAAGGACACACAGAGAAGGGCTGTGTGGAAATCAGTAAGGCCACCTGAAGGAAGGTGACTCACTTGGGCCACAGGTCCTTGGTCCCCACTGTTCACCTTTCTCATCCACGATGTCTCTTGGTGTTCT